CCCCATTTTTTGCACATACTATCGTCAAAGAAGCAAAGGATACTTAAATTTGGTGATTATGTTTCAGGCAACCTAAAGAAGTAGCTCGACAAATTTGTAGAAAGTGGGGAATGTTCAAAAGATATAAACAATGAATAGTAGTGGAGTAGAGTATACGTGTTGGAGACGGTCATGAATACGGATATTAAACTTGTCGGAGGAAGGCTATACCCACCTGGACGTATGAAATGACATTTTGACCGTCTGCCGTCTATCACATTTACCGAATCGATTGGAAAGTTTGTTTAACACCAAAGGCATATGCGCAAACGTTAAGGAACACTATCACTTGTGAATGGTCGATATAGTGGCATTGACGTTTGACAAACTGCCATTGAAGGATGACAGACGGTTATTTAAATAAAACACATTAACGGTTTTAATCGCAATATATTAGTTAAACTTATTTGAAAATGATTTTTAACTTCGGCACGACGTCTCGGATGCTTTGCAGCAGCCGTGTCTCCCCGTGACCACCGCTGTGTACTACTCGTGTAAACTTTAGACCGATGGTTATTGACAATTCGTTATTTTGAAATAACGTCGGTGTAGGGATTTTTGGGGGTGAGACACAGTATCGTGCCCACCAGAAAGTCTGTTTCTAAGAATAAAGCGATTGAGTCTTGTCCAGAGTCAATGTTAGTCACGGACGATCGGTAACGTTATTGCTGCTATATCGACCCCACTTTTTAAATTTCCAAAAGTACAATTGAATAAATTAAATAGTTGTGTATAGTGGGTATTATTTCGTTTTGGACTATATTAATAGCCTTAAGTACAGTACGAAAAGATGTTTATTTCTATCGGGTCATCTAATAACGCTTTGTCCTTACCACACTTATATATGCGTATAGTTCTAGTCCAAAGCAATATATAATCAGCGTGTTATAATTAGACGTCACTTACCATCGAGTAAACCTCACGTTTGACTCTCTTTCTCTGCGATAAAACTATTAAGGTGGCAATCCAGTGATGGTGTTCAAACTTACACCTTTCTGAATTCACACTTGCGATAAACTATACTTTATTCGTAATTGGGTTCGATAACCGAGTGCATGCAATCCGGTTCTCGCATTAACCTAATTTTACATAAGTATCAACGCGTTTGTGATAAAATTCTTACTATTAGTCGACGTCATTTATTCTATCACTCAGAAATATTGTGTGTTTTAAAGTTTGACTATATACTTGGTTTGTGTGAAAGGGTATTAGAAAAATAAAGCGCATAGTGAATAATGATGAGTACCTAATGACTTAACAAAATCTATGTCTATAAATTTATATATCATTTATTTGTCGCAAAAATAACCGAATAAGATTTGTCGCGAAAAGTTTGACCTGAAACAGCAAAAAGAAACAATATTTTCTTGTGATGTTGTAATGTAATTGTGCCATTTTGTGTTGTGGAAAAAAGTGTTTTTTTCATCTGTTTCTGAGGTATTGAAGATATAAAATTCTCTACATACTGTTCAATACAATGTAACATAATGAAAGACTAGTTGATTCTACAGCACCAATCAGCAAGAAAAATATTTTTATTGTTTTGAAAAAGCAGTGCTGAGTATGTAGACATCAAAAAGATATACAGTGACAATTTTCATACGAGGCATTAAAATACTTATTACATATTACTTAGCAGAGATTATTGAAGACTACACCTACACTACAATAGTAATTGTGACGTAATTATGAAGCACACAGAACCTTCATTTCCCTACAAGGCAAACGTTTACATAGTCTGACATTGAGTGGAGACAGGTAAAGCCGGGTACTGACTAGCGAATCATACCGGTGTACGTTCTCCATTTCCGCGTTACATGTCGTTTTGCGTCCTGATCAAAAAGTAATAATTTATTTATAATATTTTTGTAAATATAACTTACGCTTGGTAAAACCCTTGCATATTTGAATACGGGCCTTCAAACTTTGAGTTGATAGCGGCCATCTTGTTTACCATAAAATAGTTCTTGCGACTTAATCTTAAAACACATATATAATCTCTAAAAAATTCATAAATTTCCGCGATTTTACATTTAATGTAAAAAATAGATCGAAATGATGAATGATCTGTATAGCCTTCCTCGATAAATGGTCCAACAAACACAAAAATATTTTTTTTTATTTTGAACCAGTAGTTCCTGAGGTTAGCGCGTTTAAACAAACTAAGAAACTCAGCTTCATAATATTAGTATAGATATCTCGTGTAATTTATTACTTAGACGCACTGTATACGATTTATTTAAGTTACGCATACTGTTCCTAAGTATGTACGCCGCCTTATGTAGGCACGCCGATAGCAAAATAGTGTCTTTACACAAGGAGTGTCAAACAACCAGGGTATTGTCTGACGGCCTGAGAAAACTGTAACCCGGCATAGTTATGGGAAGTTTAACTTTTTATCAGCCTTCATTCCATAGTTAAACCTGTTCTTACTGCATTATAGTAATAACAGGTTAACTAAGTATAAAAAGAAACAATACTTTATAAAGACCGTTCCGCGTCGTTAAATCTTAATTCATATATGTAAGATCTCTCGCTTTTAAATAAGAATAATATAAAATGGTATTTGCAGTTTTTGTAGTTTGTCGTTGGAAGTTGATAAATACTTTTAAAATGATGCCTTGCCGTAGGAACGTAAACGAGTTAGACTTAAATTTAGTATTTAAAACAATTTTAAACAGGTTGAAGGCGTACTTTATTTATTTAATTATCACTGGTGCAGAATCAAATAATGTTAACTACTTCTTCTATTTTAGTCTTAAACAAGGAATTTATTTTTATTAATTTTCAAACGTATTCTTCATTTGTTTTAAAACCTCTAACCAGCTAAGGTTATATTAAAACACTTCTAGAATAAATCTACATATGTCATGTTACTAGCTGAGTCAGCGACTTCGTACGCCTAGAATGGTGATTTTGAGTATCAATTTTTGTTTTTATTCAATTTTTTCAAATTTAATTTTTATTTTTGTATTTAGTCCGTGACAGTATATGTCTATCTTGCAAGATAAACATATACTGTCGCGGACTTTTTTATTAGATCATTTAAAGACGTACCATTCTTTCATTCACATTTTTTGTGAATCTTGAACCGATTTCGAATTCTTGAGATTCGCGCGTTCAAACATACAAATAAACTAACTCTTCAGCTTTATACATATATAAGTATAGACAGATTATATTCTTATTTCAGTTATCAGTCGTTATCCACGCCATGTCATATAAATCCATATAAATTTAGTTTATGATCACATAATCTAGAGTTTAATATTCCTTTCACGATTTAATTTTTATATTCAAACGGTCCTCACACCTGCGTATACGCGTACTATACTATTATTATTTATATAACTGTCTTTATCACTTTTGATTATTGGTGCATTTTACCACTATATTTTACAGTCACGTAAACTAAACCTACCTCTCTTTGTTTCTTGACAGTTCTTCTCGTTTGTTCTCCCCACCATCTTTGAAGGTATTCAAAGATGACATAAATCAATATTTTGTGTAAAATTTAACATTATAGCTAAACTTCTTTTTTTATGACAAGCGAAAATAAATAGCTAGATTAATAGTCTAAACAGTAAGCGCTGTCGACCTGTAATTCTAAATTAATATACAATTGAATTTAAATAAAACACTTTAACGGTTTAAAACGCGATATATTAGTTACACTTATTTAAAAATGATTTTTAACTTCGGCCCGACGTTTCGGATGCTTTGCAGCAGCCGTGGTCACGGGGAGACTATATAATATATCGCGTTTTAAACCGTTAAAGTGTTTTATTTAAATGTGTACTACTCGCGTAAACTATAGACAGTATCAATACAATTGTAGTTATTACCATTTCGCTAACATAAAATGCGATCGTCACGGTATCATTTAAAATGACACCGTTGTAAATTGTAATGAGTTAACAATAATCGCGTATTGCAAAGCCTTGTTTGTCTTGAAGCACTATTTTGAAGTTACGAGTTCTCGTTCCAGCGGAGCAGTTGCGAGTTTCGTGTCGCGGTCCGCGGTCGTTTCGTCTCTACCTGGCAGCGACCTTTTAAACATAAGCCGCTTCCCGGATCGTTCTTGGAAACTGTGAAGTGTCTTTTAATCAAGCTATGCTCACAAAAACGAATGTGCGATGCGCGAATTATGCAAAGATAAAGTGACGTGCGATTAGTGTATATTTGTAAAATGATCTGACGCAGTGTTTGTGTAGATAACGTTACAATTTCTTTGGTTTTGCGGTGTTATTGTCACTGGTAAGGTTAATGCTAATTTTATTCGATTCGTCGTATCTACGTAATAATCGTTGTTAAATTAATATTTTGTTTATCGGCAAAGTGATGGAAAAGTCTTTTTATCAGAGGAAATATTGTTATAACTCAACAGTACTAAACAATATTTAAGTATATTTATGTTGCAACCTTACATATAAATTTTAACGGCTAGTGAGCATTGGATTTAACTTCTATAGATTATACTGAAAATAAATTTATATTACGATTTTTACCTTGAGTGTATAATAGTGATAAACAAAGTTACAAGATACATAGCTATTTATTCAGATAGTACATCTATAAGGTGCTTGCATTAAAAAAAAGGTCTTTTACATTTTAATGAAGTTAGATTTAAAGAAGCTGAAGTTTTTCTTTTCATAGAACCCAATTTTAAGTTGGAGAAACTCTTAGAAACTAGTATTCAATATCTTACTATATTATTGTATATTTTTTGTTCAACTTATATTTTCTTTAACAACTTCATGCATAGGTATGTAGAGCAATATCTGTTTTGTAGCTATTAATATTTGCTTTGTATTGGTCCAGATTGTATAAGCTTGGAAGACATGGGGGGGCAAGTTGAATATAATTTTGTAGCCACTCGAATAATAAGGGGCCGTAATAGCATACTATATACATCTATTTTATAATCTTTATGTCTCATTCCAGATAGCATCAATGCAACAATGCAAAGCACAAGAGAGTCAAGTCGGCAAAAGCGCAACATCAAAAGACGAAACTCTAGAAAGAAATCCTTATCGCCATCCGATTTAAAATGCGTCGACGCAAAGACAGAGAACAAGTTAGGCAGGCGAACTCTCTCAGAAGGCTCCATGAAAGTAAAGCACAGAAAGAGCAATGTACAGCGAACGTTGACCCATCCGATATCGTCGGATTTCGTTGTCCCCGTGGACAATGTGTTTTGTGCCATCAAAGAACCAGTGCCACCTGAAAGCGACGAATCCCACGTACCTCCCACCAGCAGCGACAGAGATACGGAGGACGATGCGCGTGCGCCGAAACCGCCTGTTGCGAGGCCCCGATGGGACTCTGGTAGTGAAATGGATTCACTAGTGTCCATCGCCGTGAGAAAGGCTTCGGCACGACGACGCCGAACGTCTGCTAATCCAGGTAATTTTGTTTTGTATATATATAGCCTCGGAAACAGTTCGTTGCTTTAGTAACTAGGCGACATAAAAATTTAAGTGGTTTAGTTTTTTTTATAATGGATGAGGAATGACAAGCAAAAAGGGTTTCAATGCCCCCGGGCATATATCTTAAAAATTTGCGCTGTCGACCTATTTTTGCTTTAGATATTTGGATTTCGATTATTCGACTGAATGAAACGCGAAAAAACTAAACGACTTTATCTGCTGAATTTTGACATTTCTATCAATGATTTAAAATCAGAATTTCCAGACAAAGTGCTTTTTCCGTGCTTCAGAAAAATATTAATTGATCAGAAACTAGATTACAATAAATTTATCTCATGCAGGTGCCATACATACAACACTTATGACTTATCTTAAAATCGGTGCTGCAAAACTAGTAGGCGACAGCTGTAAACTAGTATTAAAAACAAGTGTGCACCATTTCGAAAGAAATGTTTGTGAGAAATAATATGACACATTTGAAAATGATTTTTAACAGAGTCTCCTCGTGACCACGGCAAAGCATCCGAAACGTCGGGCCGATATTAAAAATCATTTCTAAATAAGTTTAACTAATATATCGCGTTTTCAACCGTTAAAGTGTTTTATTTAAATGTGTACTACTCGCGTAAACTATAGACAGTGTTTGTATACGATCTTCACAAACTGCCTAGAGCTTATTTCGCATCCTGTCTCGAAATGTTAGTATGCTAATGATAGAAAATGATCGCCGCGGCTGGTTCTTTGCAAATTAACTTATTATTTATGTCGCCGTTAACTAAAATGTCGTAAATAAACCTCATTAATTATTTAGTCCTTTACGAAATTAAAACTATTCAAATTTTGGACATATGTTATGTGTATTGTAACTGTACAGTTCATTTGTTCGTGGCATTCTTTAATTAAGCATATCAACTCTACCATTAATTTTATTATCGTTTTTATTTTTTCTTGCAACACTGGAGAATCGTGACAAATTTTAATTGAGAATTAAGATTAAATTAATATTAAACAGAACGCTAGTAATAGTTGACATTTAGTCTTTTTATATTGTAACCTGTAAATAATTCAAAAATACATATATTTTAACCCATTTTATAAACTTAAAATGGAATCACAATTTAATTAAGAATGCTACATTAAAACGACGAAAGAGTTTTTCGACTTCAATGATTGTTCCAGATATTTATATACAGGGAATAATTTTTGCCCCAAAGTCAAATAGGGCTTAAGTCGTTTAATTTTACATCGTTTCGTTTGAATAATTATCACAAAGTTTGTAGTTATCAATTGTTACTAATTCCAGTGTCTGTAGCTATCACCTGTTGTATTATAATATTTATAAAAAGAGTTCTTACACCTAAATTACTCGGCCGGTTTAAATGCAATTTTGCAAACATGTTCGTAACCTAACAACATTCTAAAACTTATGTCATTAGTCTAACACATGACGTATGATAAAACCACTTAAAATGAGATATTTAAACTCTTAACAGCCGTCAATACAATGTTTTCTTAAAAGCATTTCTCTGTTCATCCCAACAATCGCCAAACAACAGTACGTTGGTGAAATATAGGGCAGTATCTTGTTAAAGTAGATATTACGAAACAAAAGACAGCCCTAATTGCCAATAAATCGTTAAAGCAATACATTTATATCAATTAATTCGAGTCTTGTACTCAATTAAATAAATTTATACGATGATGGTACTTGTCTGCGTTGCCTTGTCTTCATGAGTTGAAAATATTTGTATACTGCATTGAATGCAAGGTAGAATTGATAACAGATAATAAATACCGTTATAGTTTTAATCTACAGCCATGTAATATTAAGTATATAGTAAAGTTTCTAAACGAACAGGAAGTAATATCGAAAAATATCGCTATCAAAAAGTTTATATATAAACATTTTTCATCTATTCTCCAACATTTTAAATAAGTAGTATCTCTGTCCATCACCAACCTGGTTCTTAAAAAACGAGGATATCAAGTGAGTTGAAATAATCAAGAATAATGTATTTATGTGACTACTAAAAACAAAATAAAATAAATATTTAAGTTTCTTTACGATTCTAAACGTTTCTTTTCTCTATAGTAATAAATAGTAACATGGGCAGGACACGAACCCAGAGTTATTGTATTCCGTACTGTTGCTCTCTAGTAATATAAGCCAATTGGTAGCAATTGGCTTATCATATGCCATCGTTAATTAACTAAACTAAAATATAAACGTTTTAGTTTTTTTACGAATTTATAAATAAAAAGTAACTAAAACTCCTATGTTATAGTACTTATTGTTTGTTTGATAATTTAGAATTATCATTTTGCAACCCAATCCGTATCGAAAACACGAGGCGACAGCCATTTGTCGGCGCGTGCGCATAACTCTGGCTAATAATGCGTTCATTTGCATAGCTTCATGCCATTAACAGATATGCTGAACTACACATCAAGGTTTCATAGCAAAAATATACTTGTATAAGCTTGTAAGTAGTAAATACAGCTTGAATATGTAAGAAATATTATGCTATACTCCAAACCCTCCCTTGACCTTTGTTCCAGTTATTGTTTCTAACAATATTTGGCTAAAAATGTTTTCTTCCTCATGCACAAACTTCTGTTAAGAAATAGACGCTTATATTGCTTACAACTTATGCAAATTGGACACGTAACGGTTAAAAACGTGAAATATATCCGTAAATACTGTGTAGTTTACGCGAGTATTACACATGTAGATAAAACGGTTTAAAACGCGAAATATATTAGTTAAACTTATATATGCGTAGCTTTAACCGAAATTTGTCTGCTTTCTGGGATATGGTCGATACGGTTAAAATTGCTTTAAATAGAATGTCCAATGACTTAAACATTCTATTTAAAGCAATTTTAACCGTTGTAAGTCTGACTTATTGATTGGAGCGTTATAAAAGAATTGCAGACGTTTGAATTCAATTGAATGATACATATTTTTAAAAGGATATTCACTTTAACTGTGTACAGAAATATATGGTACTTATTATGTCAAACGTTTTGTTGCATGTTGTTTGTTGTATAAAGAAATCATAGTATTTTACGCTTCGTTTGTTTTATAAGAGATTTAAAATTGCAACTGGATTTAGAAGAAATAGCATGGATATGTAAGTTGAGAACTTTTTTCTGAAGTTATTCTTGTTAATGCAAGGGCAACACATTCACATCAACGCATCCATACAAATGGAATGCATAATGTTTTATCAGTTGTCCAGGGTTAGTAAAAGTCTACTTTGCCCTCAAGGCCTTTGAAGGCATTCTTATGTCCTATGTTGCAAGTTGAAATTGCCTAGCTTGCTTTTACCTCCTAAATAATGGTAGATAATAGTGATATTATTATATTAGTACTATTAGACTACTACATACCTTGTAGCTAATAACTTTTAACTCTAACCAAAAGTTTTATATGCCGACATAACTCTATATATTATGTATAAGAACTGTCGGCATTTTAACAAAATTATTAAAAACTAAATAATTTTCAACCTCCTCAAAAACTACAAAAACTTCTTGCGTATTCTGCTTTGGTTTACTTTCAGCAGTTTTGTTAAACGTTACATAAGCTAGCCTTAACATATTGTATTTATGCAAGCATGCAAATATTATGTGTGCTAAGTTAATTACATTATTACTATTCTTATCTTTTACCTAATAATTATTTAAGTGTACATTTGTATGTAAATATGTATGTATTTCTTAATATTGTAATTCTTTAGAAGACTTAAGCATAATTGTGTTCCTACGCCATCTATGATTTCAAGATTAAACTATTTCCCAGTCGAGATATCTGATCTGCTGATACGACCATCAGATCATTGATAGTTGACATCAGTGTAACTAGATGGCGTTACTAGTCCTATTCATTTCACAATTTTAATAAGTAGATGTGAACTTATAAATTAGTATAATGTCAATATTAATATAAAAAATAATTAAATTACATTAAGTAGAGATGTTCTTTCTCTTCTTACTAAAAACGTTTTATACATTTTAAAAGCGCTTTACGTTAATTTTTCCGGCGTGGTGGTTAAAGCGATAGCTAAAGTTTATTGTTTCTTACAAACTTATAACATGTTGTTTGTATACAAACAAATAAATAAAGCTTGATTGATATCGGCACAGTTTCAAACTAGTTCAGTACAAATTTTTTATTAGTATACGAAAATGTCCTCTGAAAGTTTAAAACTATCTGTTTATGTAATAGTTATCTAATTTCCACGCTTAACGCTTAATTGATTGATTTATGAACATAGGCCCCAGCGCTAACTGTTGCCCATTAAATGTTAACAAAGGAAGTGCATCCTGTAGGTGGCATGTGTGGGTTGCGCACGAGTGGGTGTTGCCATAGCGAAGGTCTCAACTTTTTAGTTACAATTAAGGAAATGACACTGACACCTTTATGGTTGTAATCAATTAATAGAAATGACGAAATATTTGAAAACTTTATTATTCTTGACATCTTATTGCGCATATAAATTTAAAATCGATGTTTAATAACGAAACACGTGAATAAAAAAAAATGCTTTTATTGTTATTTTCTTTTAATCTTCTACGGTTTTATGGAAAAGATCGAAATTTAGGCTGTTTTAGCACAAACTATATATACAACATTTTTACTATATATTTTTATGTCTTCGTATTTATTTGGTTGTGCAATAGTGTTTCAATATACTTCATTATTTAAATGACACATTAATATTATTAAAATTTAGATTTTTTATTTAACTTCTATTACATCCGAACTTATTTTATATAATCATTTATTCGTAATAGAATTCCTAGTAAGTAATTTTAAACTACTTTGTTGCAGAAGAGCTAGCGTTGATGTCTTTTATAGGCCGCAAACCTATGTTCTGTGGCTTTGTAATCATTACAAAATTTAAACGTTATGTTTCTTGTTTCAAGCAAATCATTCGAGATTATAGCATAACATTAAACGCCTTCATAGTA